CGGAGGCACTCCGGGTAACTCTTCCGGAAACACATCAGCAAACTCCCTCACCACCGGGACCTCAGAAACTGAGAGTTGCTCTTTAACCCGCGTATCTACCACATACGCCAAATAACCGGCACACCCGTGCTGAATATACTGTCGAGCCCTAGCTGCCGAATAAAACCCTGATCCCAACCTGGTGCCCTCACCATACACTACAAGTTCTCCCCCACTTGGGGTTCGAACCATCACCCATTGTCCCTCACAGTCGATCATCGCGCCCAAACGGCTAAGCCAATCCATCCCATCCGGTGGCAAGACTTTGGGAGAAAGCAATGGCCATGATTGTGTCACATCACCTATTTTTGCATATCACACTTCCAAATTTTAAAATCTGTAAATCTCTCATACATGTTCCGTTTTTGACGTTCTTTATATCCAAGCGTAGGTAAGAATAAGATCTACAACTTTCATTTTGACTCTGTTGGCTAATTCTTGATTGATCTTATATTTAATAGTACGAGGAGATTATACTGTTAAATGACCGCGAAAAATTCATAACTCTTTCATACGGAATCCATTTTTGTCTGTCCTTTTATCGTTGAGTTCCTATTAATGAGATCTTCAACTCTCATTTAGTTCGTGTTGGCCAAAAACCATTCGATCTAAAATTCGAGTTTCGGGTCGTGCACTATTATGCCAAATCTTAGAAAATTCATAACTTCCTCATACGAAGTCATATTTTGGGCGTTCTTTTTTTGTATGTTCTTGGTTTAATGTATACTACAACTTGTGTTTATATTTATAAGGCTAAAAAGTCATCCATCGTAAATTCAATATTTACGTCTCCCTACGCCGTGCCAGTTTTGCTGAAAAACTTCGACGGGTCATAACTTCTTCGTTATAACTTGAATTTCGGCGTTCTTTATATGTACGGAACACTTGTAACATATACTGCTACTTGGAAAAGATTAATCCTTATAAATAATATTCCATCAAAAACTCATTATCGATGCTTATTGTCTCTAAATTGACTAGCCCGGATCTGCGAGAGTTACAATAATGTTAGCCAAAAGTGTGCCAAAAATTTACTGTCCCGGTAAGAGGTTATGGATTTGGGTACCCCATGTAGACAGACAACCTCCTAAAAGAATAGTTTGGCCACATGGAAAACATCAGATGTCTTCTTGCAGGGTATGAAGTGGGCAATCTTTGAGAATCGGTCTACAACCACAAACACTAAATTTACCCCTTTTTTAGTTCGAGGAAGATCCATAATAAATTCCATAGAAATATCCTCCCATGGTCTAGAAGGAAGTGGTAGGGGCATATAATTCATGTGGTTTGAGCCTTTTCAATGTTTATTGTTACTTCATACCCCGTTAGACAAAGTTTCCCCTCTCATTTCAATTGTGGCCAAAAGTACCTCTCTTCCATTGTAGCAATTGTCTTATCTCTTCCATAATGTCCTCGTAGTCCGCCTACATGTAAGTCTCTGATTAATTTGTCTTTGACGGAAGTTCTAGGCAGACATAAATGATTCCCTTTGAATAAATATCCTTCTATAATAAGAAGTTGCTCCCATGTTATTTTACGTCGATTTCCTCTCGTAACGCTTTAAAATGATCACCAGTTTCATAAAACTCCTTTAGTGTTTCAAACCCAACTACTTTTTTGCTGATAGTGACAAGAAGGGTTGTTCTTTTACTAATAGCGTCTGCCACTATGTTGGAAGCTCCCAATTTGTGCTTGATAACGTAATTGAATTTTCCCAGAAAGCTTGCCCACATAGCATGCACCTTGTTCAAGTGATTTTGAGTTTGGAAGTATTTGAGAGCTAGGTGATCTGAATAGATCACAAACTCTTGTTGGATCAAGTAGTGTTCCCAATGCCATATGGATTGAACTACAACATATAATTCTTGTTCATAGGTGGACCATTTCTGACGTGATTCATTGAGTTTCTTGCTATGGTAGGCAACAAGTTTTCCTTCATGGGATAACACTGGTCCAATACCTGTTCCACAAGCATCACACTCAAGTTCAAAAAACTTTGTCAAAGTCAAGCAATGAGAGGACTAGTGCGGTTGTCAACTTCTCCTTCATGAGCTTGAAACTTATTTCTGCTTCATCAGTCCACTAAATTGTCCCTTCCTCATACAATATGTGATTTGGGCCATAATGCCACCAAAGATCCTGAAAAATCTCCTGTAAAAGGTGGCAGACCATGAAAACTACAGATGTGTGTGATGGTCTTTGGGGAGGGGCCAATCACGAATATCTTTGAGTTTATCTTGATGTACATGAATGTCTTCAGAACTTACAATATAGCCAAGAAAAAGAAGTCTTTGAGTTAAAATCATACATTTTTCAAATTGGCATACAACTCATTCTCTTGTAAGGTGCTGAATATGATACACAGATGCTCCAGTTGTTCATTCTCTATGTGGCTATAAATGACGATGTCATCAAAACAGACAACCACAAATTTCTCCATGAAGGGTCGTAATACTTGGGTCATCAGTTTCATGAAAGTACTTGGAGCATTTAAAAAGCCAAATGTCATTACCAACCATTCATACAAACCATCCTTAGTTTTAAAGGTTGTCTTCCATTTGTCCCTAACCTAATCCGAATTTGGTGATACCTACTTCTCAAGTCTATTTTGTAGAATATATTGGCACCTAAACGTTGGTCTAGAAGATCATCTAGACGGGGTATGGGAAAATGATACCTAATAGTAATTTCATTGATTATATGACTATCCACACACATTCTCTAACTTCCAACTTTCTTTGAGGTCAGGAGGGTAGGTACTGCACAAGGACTGATACTTTCTTGGATAATTCCCCTTGCTCAAGAGTTCCTCTACCATCTCTTGTAAAATGTCTAATTGTTTAGGGCCCATCCGATAGTGGGGTAGGATTGGAAGACTGGAACCAAACACTAAATTGATTTGGTGTTAGATGTTTCGTAGTGGTGGCAACCTATCATGGGTGTCTCCTGTAAGAAGTTTATTGAATTATTTCAACAATGGTTTTACCTAAGTCATTATCATATTGCAATGATTTATCAAAACTGAATGTGTTTTTAATTTTATTATCTTGCTGTTGATTCTCGATTTTTGAAAATAGTTAAATTTGTTCAACAAATCTGGTATCTCATGACACAATCACGTTTTTTCTTTCAAGATCGTATACCCGATAACCTTTTTGTCCTTGTGGGTATCCAACAAAGACACCATGTTTCCCTATTAATTCAAACTTGTCTCTTTTTGTTTTGGAGTTTATGGAATAATCTAAACATCTGAACACCTTCATGTTTTTATATCCTGTGTTTTACTATAAGAGAATTTTGAAGGGTGTTTTGTATCCAATGACCTTAGAAGATAGTCTATTGATGATATGCGTTGCTGTAAAATACATTCTCTTCGGTAGCATGGATTCAAACATTAAGGCTCTAGTAACATCAAGCAAATTTTAGTCCTTTCTTTCCACAACACCGTTTTGTTGAGGTGTATTAGTACAACTTGTTTCCAAGATAATTCCTTCCGATGTATAAAACTCATTCATGGAGTTGGTAGTGAATTCTCCCATTTTTGCTTCTAACTCTTTTTATTATTTTCCTAAATTAAATTTTCACCATTTTACAAAAGTTAATGAGACGTTTACTTGCTTTATGTTTATGTTTAATAATATATATACACACATAGTTCTACTAAAATCATCTACTATTGTAAAAAATAACATGCTCCCATGAGAGAAGGTGTGCGACAATCACCGTAAATGTCATTATGCAATAAATCAAACCATTCAACGGTTTTAGTAGACGAACTAAGAAAATGTAATTTTGTATGTTTTTACTTTACAAACGAATGACAAGTCTTATTTCTTAATGCAAAAGGAAAATTTCTCAAAAAAACAACTTGATATAACTTAGATTCTGAAGCATGCCCAAGTCTCTTATGACATATCCCCACATCAACTGGAACTAACATAGCGTTTCTCTTCTCTGTTGCAAAATCCGTTCGATAGGGTCCTCATTCTCACTTACCCAAACCAGTCATGCTCCTCGTTTTTAACCCACTGCTAGAAAAACAGCCTTTTACGACGCGCAAAACACGACGCTCTTTGATTTATGTTACGCATTAGAGAGCGACATTAAAAAAGAGTCATCTCTTCAAAAAATTTAAGAATTTAGGTCGCGCATTACTGAGTGCCCTTAAATTAGTGTCTCACGAAAAGAAATTAAAAACACGGAGGGCGCTTTATTTTAAAGGTGCGTCCTCTATATTTTTTGCTTTATAATTTTAATGAAAAGGCGCGTTTAGTAGAGGTGGGAAACGAAATCCCCAAAATTTTGAAAAGTCGTCTTCTACCTTCTTTCTATCTTTCATCTTCTCCCCTCTCGCTCCCTCCTTCTCTCTCATCTCTGATCCGCTTCCCCGCCACTTCTGACCTCCTTATCGATGTCATCAAACATCGTGTTCCATCCTTAATACTTCGCGAGAATCTAAATTTTAGAAAACCCCGTACTCAAAAAGTCTAAGAAACTAGGGTTTTTTCATCCCTCAAAGAACGACCCACATCCTCCATAGATCGATCTCTATCGCTTCATTTCTCACAAGAAATCAAACACTTTACGTTCATAGGGCCACAATTGCAAGGATGCTCACTCACCTTTCTAGAGAATACCTTCGCATATATAACACGATCATCTTCACAAAAAATGGCTGCCACCATTGCTTGAGCGGGCTCAAGCTACGATCGACAATCAGAGCTTAAAGCTTTCGACTAAACAAAAACCAGCGTCAAAGGCCTCGTCGATGCCGAAATCCAATCGGAGCTAGGGCTTTTTGTGAAGAACTTGCCCCGCCTTTCTCTACTGCGTGTTCTCTCTTCTGCATCTCCACCCTCCAATGAAATCCAATCACCAGCGATCCTATAAAAGTTCTTTCTCATGCTCGAACCCTAGATCCCACCTCGTACCTTGCTACATCTCTATAACAGTTCTTTCTCATGCTCGAACCCTATTTCTTTTTTCATGCTCGAACCCTAGATCACCAGCGATCCTATAACGGTTCTTTCAATTGCTTGATTTTGTCGATTCGTATACGATTGCATCAGCAGCTGATCCAGTCTCGCACCAAAATCTATTTGAAGAAGATTAGAGATAGAGGGAGAGGTAGGGCTCATGGTGGTGGTGGTGGTCGAGGTCAAGGAAGATCATTTGGTGGTGGAAGACCAACAGGGCCACCTCGCAGAGGTCCCCTTGCTGTGAATGCTCGACCAACAGGAAGATTATTTTATGGCTGATGTTTATCTAAAATGAGTCGTAATCCCTTCACAAATCTTTAGTTATATTCTATATTTTGATATTTTGATTTGGAGGATTTGTTTTTTTGATCGATGGTTAATGATTATAAAGTCGTCATGGAAAATCTTAATCCACAAAGGTTTGCAGGTTCATATACGCTCTGTAATTTAGATTTGATCTGTCGATAGTTTCAATCTCACAGATCAGATCTTTATGATCAGGCGTTTCTAGGTTCTTCCTCTCTTATGTTGTTCTAAGCGTTATCAGGTTCTTTTTATGGTCTCTTCTATGAGGAGATACAAGTTATAATTAAGAATTTATCTACGAATCTACTTGCTGTGGCAGATCGATAGGGTTATTGGTTTATTGCTCCATACTCTGATTGAGAATTCTTTCTTATATTGTCTTATGCTACACCTCCATTTTCCTTGCTTTGGAATCAGGTTGAGGCTTTGAAATGTGCACTATCACTTTTGGCCTTGGCTAGAATATGGAGAACTGAAGGTGTGACCGAAGATAACGGGTTTGCTCAATAAACTTCCTTCAAAAAATAAATTTGTCCAATAGTTTCATTACAGAAATTGAAAAGAAAAAAAAGGAATAACAGGATTAGAGGCATCAAAGCCACCTAATGGCTGGGTGGATGATGTCTCGAGCCTATCAGGATTTTAATCAGTGAAAAACTAGGCTGTGAGGGGATGATTCATCCTTGTTTCTCACCGGTCCTTACCAGAAGTTAATAGAACAATAATATTAAGTGTCTTTTTGTGTGTGCGTGGAAAGTAAATTCATTACAGAACACTTCTAAAAGTGTGATGATAAAGCTACTTAAAATACATATTAGTAAATGTAACTGATAAAGCTAATCACATGCTTTGAGCCAAAGCCATTGAATGCATTAACCTTGTTGGGATGGCTGTTGGAAAAGAGATATTTAGAGATAAAGTAATTTTCACACATTTCATCATAAAATATGCACCATTGAATAGTTCTTTTTAGTTTATTCGAAGTTTCTAATAATCTTGAAAATGGTTTCAAGGTGATGGAAGTTCTTATTTTGTTGCAAGGAACTCAAATGGAAACCATTGATCCCACCACAAGTTACATGCTTCAAGTAAGTGTTATTTGAATTTTTATTCTAACAAAAACAGATTTGATATATTATATATTTAACATATGTTAATTCCATTTATGCCCTTTTAACTATTTTATATTAGGGATGAGTGTATGAGCCGGAGAATCGGAAAATGGACCGGACCAGACGGAACCTGAGTTACATATAACCGGGGCAGTTCCCAGTTCTAATGTTTTTCATATTTCGGTTTTCGGGTAAGAACCGGATCGGACTCGGAAAGTGTTAGAAAAATATTTTATGTGTTATTTTTGTTACTTGGTTTACTGGTAAATTTATTTTTTGTTATATATGCTCCCACCAGACATCATTTTATGTGTTATTTTTGCTATTTGGTTTTAGAGTTTGTCTTCACTTTTGACATTTGCTCCTTTATCTTGAAATCTAGTTTCATGTACTTAGATTATGGTTTTGGTTTATGGTTATTGCAAAGTTACCAAGCCGATGTATTTTTAAGTTTTATTTCCATAGTTGGTAATAAAACATGTTTTCTACAGTTGGTTCTTGTTAATGGCTCGCACTCGGCTCACATATGACATGTAAACAATAAATTTATGTTTTTATGCATAAATTGATTATTACCATTTAACACAACACATATTGTTGTACTTGTATGCAAAGTGATGCACGAGCTGCTAAGGTTAAATTAGGAACAACCAGTTTGTTAGCTTCACTTCTGGCATTTTAGTTTTTGATTAATTGCAAGAGATAACAATGTTTTTTTCAACGCTTTTCAATATTTCAGTTGGATAGTTTTCCAAAGCTTTTTAGTTTCTGATTCATATCTAATTTTGAAATTTCTAAAATTACAGTAACAAATGATTTGTGCTTTAAAATTTATGTTAATTGGGTCTTAAGGTTTTGTAGAAATGTTTTTTTAGCATTACATGGAATTATATGTTTAACACTTCTTTTTATTTATCTCAGGTGTTGATGTTGGGAGTACACCTTTGCTTTTCAGGTACCAACTGTTTTCTCCTGGAATTTTTTTTGCCTGAGATTTTTTGCTGCCAACTGTCCCTTCGGGTCCTTCATTTGGAGATTTTGTTGTCTGGAAAGGGGAGACTGCAACTCCTACACCTACTCCAGCTTGTTTAACTGATTCAGGAAAGATTGCAAGGCATACTTCATTAAGGTACATTCTTAAAGAACAAGAGAATAAAGGTGGTGGTTCTTCTGTTCAGCAACAACAACATCAAGTACATGTCCCAGATCAGAAGCCCATGTCATCATCTGTTCAAACTAAAAATGGTCCTTCATGGTCATCACCTGTCCAGATTATGTCACATAGTGGGACTGGGGCTTCTTCTCAATCAAAGAACAAAGTTGATGATGATCTTTTCTAGGGTCCTTATGGAAGCGTGTTTGATGATTTTGGTTTATGTTTGTGATACAGGGCTGATTTTCCTCAACTTACAAATCAAGGGAGTTGGGCTAAGAACACTCATGGAAAAGAAACTTCTGGTAGGGCTATGTGTCGACAGAAGTTTGGGAGTGGAAGACCTGTTGAAGCTTCTCTTTCATCATCTCCTTCATTGAAGGGGAAAAGAGATGTTATGGCTAAACATTCAGGTAAAGTGGACTCCATTAGCCAAGGACACATCTGCTAAAGTAATTCTTGAGCTATCTTTATATATATATATTTTTCCCATTTTCACAAATTTAAATGTTTTCATTTTCCATGAAAAATATATTGGAGCTTGTTGAGAAATCCAAAGGGTGGTCTTCACTAGAACAGACTAGGGACAGTGCTGAAAATGTGATGAAGCGGATTTTTGAGGAAGAGTTATATGATATCCTACTGCTAATTATATTCACAGGAGGGGCGGTTCCGTCCAAAGGTTTTTCACAGTTTATCATGTTGCTTTGCATGCTTGTGCAGATCTTAAAGATGTTCAGGTAGCTATAATTCATTACAAATTTATAATCAAATATTCAAATACACAATATGCTTTCTTTATCTGGTATGGCTATAATTCATTATAAGTTTATATGTGTAAGGTTGGTTGATCAGGTATGGCTAAGATAGAGAAGTTGAATTGAAATATATATGCTTTGTTTATATCTATAGTTTTACCAAAAGATTTGAAGTTAGTTTTAGTTGTTTATCTGTGTAAGCTTGTTTTGAGTGTATTTATGCAAGTAAGATTTAGTAGTTTTTTTCATTGTGGTTTATTTTATTTCATTATCTTTTTTGATACATAATTACATTAAATATAATTTCTTGTTTTTATTTAGGGTAAAGCAAGCTCCATGGTGGTAGTTGCCCTTCGGCCTAAACCAGGGTGGGAGGTTCGTTAATCTTTGATTATATTGATAAGCCCCTTCATCTTTTGGATCTGGGACAGTTGCTGATAGATTAATTTATTTGCTTCCATCACATACCTCAGGTAAATTACTAAAAATAAATCCATTAAACATACAATCTTAGGCCTAAATTTATTTTATTTTTTGTTTTGATTAAACTGTTATGTTTTTTGACAATTTTATGTTGGGGAAGGTGATGGCGATGGTGGTTATGTGGGCTGGCTCCACAAACTTGCTACTTTCCAGGAGAAGGCATTAATTCATGCATTGTCTTATAAGTTGGAATTCAACAATTATGCCTTTTTGTTGTATTGAAAAGACCAAAATACCCTTTTGGTGTGTAATTCATGCATTGTTCAAGCTTTCTAATTTACTTCCATAGATGATGGAAGAACTATTTCTTCACTTGTATGCACAAAACTCAGCTCTTCCACGTATGATTCAAATACTTGTAGGATTTGCTACTTCTTATGGTTAGTCCTCTATCCAACTCTTTGGCATCCTTATGATTCTTCTTTCATGTGTTCAAAACTGAGTCCTGAAACTGAATATCTTTTGGTGATATGATCATTTATTTGAAGCTCTGATGTTTACCCAAGACTTAAAGGTGTGCTTTCCCAAGTTCTTCCTATTTTAGGGAATGTTAAAGATCAACATAGACCAATTTTTGCAAATGGTATGCTTAAAGACCCTTTAACTCCTTGTTTCCATGATTCCTTTTCACTAATTCTATCATCTATTGGTTCTTTCATACACATGCATCTGTTATCTCAAATCTTACATTTATTTTTATTTATGTTATTGTTTTTTCCAGCTTTCAGGTGCTGGTGTCAAGCTTGTTGGCAATACAGTGTGGAGTACCCTCTTTCATCAATTCTTGATAGTGATGTCACGTGAGAAATCATTTTTCTTTTTGTTAAACAAGTCTTTATTATCATGTATTAGGTCAAACCATGGGTAAAAACAGCCTTGCCCCTGGTTCCGGGGTTGTCACAAAATACTTGGCTTTTTAACTTTGTTTTTGGTTTCATTTAGTAATAATCCTTCTGAGGGGGTGTTTGTTGGGTTGCTTCTTTCAATGTCATTAACAACAATGGTAAGTAAAATCTTACTACAATGAAACTCTTTTGCTTAAACCTACCTTATTGACTTGTAGCTGATTAAGCATTAAATTAATTATGCAGGTTTTGAAGTTTTTGATGGAAAAGAATAGTGTTAATGCTCTTCATAGAAAAGTATGTTGGTATTTTAGGAAATTTGGCTAATAATTTAGTTAATTATATAAAAAATGTTGAAATGTTACATTTGTCTACTATTGGAATAATTATTTGTAGTATTACATTTTTCTACTATTGGAATGATTATTTGTATAACATTAACTTTTGTGTAATGCATTGTATTATTTGTATATGGTATTTTATTTTCCATTATGTGACATGAAATTCAAATTTAATATGAAAATAAGTAAATCCATAAATAATTTTTTTTAAAAAAATTTAAAACTACGATACGCAAAAATGTGTGTCATCTTCATTTATGACATGTCCTTCCTTGACAAGGGCTTTCTTGATACGCATTGCGTGTCATTAACACGCGCGTCGTAAGGTTACGACACACGAATGCGTGTCGTCTTCTGTTATGACAGGGCCTTTCTTGATACGCATTACGTGTCGTAAACGCACGTCGTAATTACGCGTCGTAAATGAGCGTCGTAAATGCGCGTCGTCTACAGACGACGCGCAAAAGCACATCGTCTCTCTTTATGACAGGGCCTTCCTTGACGCGCATTTGTGCGTCGTCTGAGCCGTTTATGACGCGCAATGAGCATCGTAAAAGGCTATTTTTCTAGTAGTGACCCCTGTGCGACACAACAGTCCGCAAATACAGTCACAACACAATTAAGTTCTTTTGTTAGCCGACTAAAAAATAAAAAATTACACATAAAATTTTTGGAATCTATAAAACTCACCTATCGATTTTCATTCCACTATGTAAGCTGCAATTTCCTTTCCTCAACGGGAACAAAATCACCATTAGGAATAGTGATAGGTAACTCTCGATTGCAGTTTACTTTGTTTTTATGTAAATTTAAATCACAAGTTATGTTCTATGGTGCTCCTATATCGATGATCCAAGATTTGTTTTTAACGTTCTTACCACCTATGTTGAAATTTGAACCAACATCATCTTTTACTTTGTTAGTTGTCAAACCGGAGAAGTGTTTGGTGAGCATCTGGTACCGTTCACTTGTCAACAATGGTATAGAATTTGAACTAGCATCAACCCACATAGCCTTGGGTTTTTTCTTTCTCCTTATTTCCTTTCCCGGGCCACCAATCTGGATAACAAATCCTTTTGAAGCATCCCTCTTTATTGTGATCGTTTTTGCCACAAAAGGTGCACTGTTCCAACTCTTAGTTGTTGAATCGATTTGTTTCATTGGCATGTCCTTTATTATTTTTTGTTTCTCTCCTGTTAAAAGTGAATCCTTGAATGGTAGCCACATCATGTATAGTTTTTTTATGGCCGAGGTTGCTCTTTGTTGTTCGTCTTTCTCCGAGCAGGTGTTAGGCAGTCCCTAATACTGGTGTTGGTTTTGAGGTGAGTAAGTGAGTTCTCACCATGGAAAACACACAATCAAAACCTATCAAGAACCCGTACAACCTTTCCGTATGCTTCAACTAACTTAACCTTGTTCCAATATTGCACTTGCATTTGCCACAAGTGCAACTGGGTGATGGTGATAGCAGTTGTATCCCGTCCTTGAGACATCGCATATTCATATAGTAATTCGAAACGGAAGCCCTATCTTGCTAAGCTATAGCGATGGTTTATTTTAATTCATATGGACGAGGTGCACTTTCCTTCCTAAACAGGTCTGCTTACATCTCTTCTGACGTGTTAGCATACTTACCACTTGATATGATATTCTTCTCCATGGTTGTGATGAGACAACCCTTTATCATGGCAATACACCTCATCCACATCATGTATTCATCCGAGTCTTCTTTCAGTGTCTTGATCATTTTATTGAAAAATCCTATCTTGTTCTTGGCAAACAAAAAATTCTTGATTTCCTGTGAGAAATCACCATAGTTACTCTCCATAGGGATGTTGTTGGCATGCAATTGTTTTGGGTATACATGCACATGTATATAGTATGATGTGTTAATATCTTTTTTCCTTGTTTCATCTTTGGTGACTGACATTCTAGCATCGCCTGTAATAGCGGCGAATCTATTCTGTTTGCAGGTCTGATCTACCTGCTCTAATACTGTAATGTCGGTGCTTCCCGCTAGACACTTCATAGAAAAATCTTTATTTATAACGATCGATAATGTAAATTTTCTCGTGAATAAATAAATAAGAAATTTCAGTACATGTTACGTATTTAAAAATATTATTTTTATGGATATTATGAATTTATTATACAGATGAATATTATGGTAATATAATATTTGTATAAAAGTATAGTTAAAAAATGTAACTGTAACGTCCGCAACTTCGAGCTAGACATTTAAGATATAGTAAGGGACAAAATGACATTTTTATAGAAAATTATTTAGGATAAGAATCTTAACCAAAGTTATAGTAGATGTGACAAGGATTCTATACATATAAACAACTCTGCAATATGATTTCAAATGAGAAAGTTATGATTTTTCGAAGTTTCGCGATTAAACTGACACGACTATACGCATCTTAAAATGTGAATTTTAGATAGGTTGCTTACTAGCCTAATCAATCTAAACGAAAATCATAGTGATCATAAAACCTAGAACATGCATATAAAAGAACGTCAAAATCTGACTTTATATGAGGAAGTTATGAGTTTTCGAAGTTTCAACACAATACTATTGTGCGGACACATAATTTGAAATTCGAATCAATTGTGAGACCGTCAATATATAGACAGTCGAGAACGGTGTTTGTATGAAGTAGTTATTAATATCGTACGGACTTTAACAGTCTAAACTCGTTTATATATGAATTTTAGTTAGAGTGAGAATTATCAGTTAAGACCTTAATTAAAGTTGTAGAGCTCGTCGAGAGGATTCCGGGGATATAAATAACATTGAAAGCGGAACTCATATGCAAAATTTATGGTCTTCCAAAAATCTGCGAGAATTCCCTAGGCTGATGTAGTGGCACTACCTGGTGGCGCCACGTGCTGTGGCCGGATAATCAGCTCTCGCATGAGACAAGTTGACATGACACAATGTGGGCATGACACATGACACATTCTAGAAGAAAGGGAGGTGGACTAACCAAAAATTGACACGTGGCGAGAATCTGATGGGCCAACACACCTAATAAGCACGGCGCAACTCTTGTCTGGGCGCGACACACACCTGTTGAGGCTATAAATCACCTCCGATTTCCACCATTTTTCTCATAAATTCAGTTCCAATCGTTGTGAAATCTCTCTAGCCTTTGAGTTTGATTTTTAGCAACTTTTATAATATTTTAGTTGAATCTCTAGACCTCTAGGAGCCCAACAAGAAGGAATATTCGAGTCGGAGTTCTTCCCGCGTAATTTCCCGGTTTTTTCTATAATTTATGTAAGTTAAGCTACACTTATTTTAATACAAGTGTACTTATATTTATGCTCATAGTCGTTATTATGAACCTATAAAGAAGATTTATCAGTTTTTACAACTTATTATATTAATTAATCTACTTACTGGAATGATGTCTAGGCTAGATTTAATGAGGTGTTTAAAGTTAGATTTCCAAATAGTATACTCATATACCAAACAGAACCTTCCTTCGATGTGATCCTACTGTAACACCCATAAAATTCAAGCCAATTTAAAACTTTTTAAAACATTTAAAACCATTAAGTTATTAACATTTGTTTTCAAAATAGTTTAACCATCAGAGTATTCCCCAGAACCATATCACATGAATCATAGAACATGAGGAGCGGTACGATCACGCCTTCGCCTTACCATGATCTCCTGAAGTACCTGAAACAAAACACTGAACTGTAAGCCAGAAAGCTTAGTGAGTTACCCCCAAAATACTGATACACATACAGTCCACATAACCACGTCAACAATAACATATCATAACAAACTGAACAGAACAACATGTACTGGGTACACAACTTTACAAGATGGACTACCCCCTGGGCCCTCAGTATGAGTCTGGAATGCCTATAGGGCCCTCAGCTCGTATCTTGAATGCCATCGAGCCCTCAGTACGAGTCTGGAATGCCTACTGGGCCCTCAGCTCGTATCTGGAATGCTCCTGTGTCCTCAATATGAGTCTGGAATGCCTATCGGGCCCTCAGCTCATATCTGGAATACTCCCGAGTCCTTAGTATGAGTCTGGAATGCCTACCGGGCCCTCAGCTCATATCTGGAATACTCTAGGGTTTGTTGCTACCGCACGGAGCAGTACAACCTCAACCCATCCTACATAACATGTCGACATGTAACAGATAAATGCACATACAGGTAATCAATCAGTATCACAGGCAGTCCTACAGATCTACCCGACAAGCATATCAACTAGCATACATTACTAACTCAACTCAACATAAACTACTAGGATATCAAATCCATTGGGCCGACCTTAGTGCCTTAGACCCCTTAGTATAGTGAGGATAACTCACCTCGAAATGTTGAAGTCCCGTAGACACAATCCCAGTTGTTAGATAACATATTCCCGAACTGTCCATATCAAAACATCACCCAATTAATAATTAGGTCCAAACGCATAACCACACATTCTTGGAGTAACATGCTTTATTACCCCATCTTGGCTTGATTCAAGCCCAAGGCCCAAACCAAAGACCCAAAAGTCAACTAGTAATCAAAGCCCAGCATATGGCCCAATTTTCCAAATTGGGCCCAGGCCTATACATGGTCTTATTCTAAGGCCCAACATCG